AAAAAAAAAAAAAATCAAAAAATTCCAATTTGATAGGTAATACTAGAAGTAAAACATTATTTTTGGAAACACAAAATCATCTCAAATTCTTATGGGTTTTTTTTCAATTGGAATTTTACGTGATATTTTAAGAATTTTAAAATTTGAGACTTTTTAAGATTTTGTAGGAATTCTGTGTAATCTTAAGTGTGGAGGTAGGATTTGAAGTGGGTGGGGTTAGTTTTTCGTTTAGAAATCCTACAAAATCTTAAAAAGTCTTATAAAATCCTAGTGTCAAATAAATTAAATACATCAGCATTTTATAAAATTTTTTAAAATCCCAATTAAATACCCATAATTCTTAAAAGTCTCAACAAATCTAAATTGAATACACCAGGATTTTTAAAGTCCTAAAAAGTTCTTAGAAATCCCAGAATACATAAAGCAGCCGAAAAGAAAGAGAAAAAAAGCCATAATGTTATCGCCCCAATAAATATGAAGTGTATCTCAAAGTCGAGATTCGGGTTTTAATACTCCCAGGATATTAAGAGATAAATCAAAATCTCCTATCTATATATATATAAACAGATTTACCATTTTTTAAGAATACCAAGTCAACTTTCTGGTCAATTTTGGACACATTAATTAGTTTCCACTAATGGATTTTTTTTTTTTTTATTTCTTAACCCTTCAATCACGGACAGAAATTAATTGATTGCATATCAATTAGTTTGTTAAATTGTTAAAAACATTTTACCATAAAAAAACGGATTTTTTTTTCGGATAAAATTTGAATTTTTTTTTGTTCGGGTAAAATTATTTTTCTTTTCCATCGACACAACACGTGCTTATCCATTTCAAAGAGAATTCAAAGTAAAGCAAAGTTTGTTAATGACCAAACTCTTTAGAGCTTATCTATTTCAAAGAGAATAATCTATTCTGTAACCGCATTAATGTAATTTTAATTTATATGTTTAATAAAATTAAAAATTATATTGTTTCCAATTTTATTGGGACTCTTTTGTATTTTACAAACTTAAGTATTACTCTATTGAAATTGTTAATAAATATTATTTTTACCATAAAAATATAAGAATGTGCCTAATCAATTTTGTCATCAATATCAATATATCAATATATAATAAGAATTACCATTTTTAAAAAATGGCAGGTCAACTGAAGGTCAAATCCGGTCAGCATTAAATACTTATCAATTTGGGCAAGCTTTTTTTTTCTGTAAAATCGGGCAGCATTTAATGTTGCCCTTAATTTGTGGGATTAGTTCATTTCAAGTTGAAGTTTTCGGCTGATTTGTGTCGATCTTTTTTCCCTAAATATGTGGTACTATCTACGGTTAATTGATTTTTTTCCCTAAATATGTGGCGCTACTGGTATTGGTTCAATTCAATTTTGAAAATAAGTCTAATTATTTTAAATGGCAATGTAATGTTTATGTTTAAATTTACTATATCATTTTTTTTTTCAAAACCGATCAACTGGTCATTTTTCGTAAATCATCATTATTGCCACACAATATTTTTAAATATTTAAATTAATAATACTACAACACTTTATATTTTGAAATATTTCAATTCAATTGTGAATCGTTTTTCATTTTGAAACGATAAACACTGAAAAATGTCACAGAAATGAGTATCAGCTTGGTGCTTTGCGGAAAACCGTAGAAAATTGGGAATTGTTGCCTTTTATAGGCGAAACCAGTGAATCAGCTATGTGTTGGATCGTGTTGACCAAATTTAAACCGTTCAATGTGGTATATATGTTTCTGGACTGGATACATTCACATAAATGTATATTGGGTCAATTTTATAGGTTGAAAGTTTTTATTTTTTATGGCATGGAAAAATATGCACATTGGACCGAACATATGAGTTAATTATTAATGCTCGAAAATTTAATTGTATTGGGACAAAATTAAATTAGTGTCAGATTTTGTTTGGGTGCCATGTTGTGATGGTCTCTAAATTACTGTTAATGTTTTTTTACTTTACAACTGTTTTTAATAATTAATGGAAATACTAATTGTTTACAACATTAGTAAAAACAGTTTTATATATTTTGTTGATTTATATTTTAAATTTAACTATTGATTTGTTCTTTATTACATGTTCAATAATAAAAATGTCTTTTATTGATTTTTCATAAAATATAATGAGTCATCGTCCCGTCGTAATGACTAATGTGAAAAAGCAACAGAAACTGGCACGTAACCTTTTGGAGATTCAAGGACATTCACCATTACATACGAAAATCAAATTTTTATTAGTATAAATTATTCGGCATAATAATATAATAATTCATAGAATCTATATATATATAAAAAGGTTTGATTATTTTTTAGTAACTATTTTCCGTCAAAAAAATATTAGTTTACTAATTTTGGAAACTACTTACACATTTTATGGTATGTTTTCAAGATTCAATTTAGGTAATTGCGGCTAATTAATTAAGGTAATAAACCACATAAAAACTTCTTTTTTATCTCAAGATATTCATATCATATATTTGTACCTAAAATATCAAGATCTATCACATTCCGAATAAACATTAGATTTACTTATACGTTTAAATTAATCAAATCAATAAATAATATTAATATACATTAAATATTTATCATTATATAAAAAAGATATTACTTCTATAAATGTAAAATAATATTGACATTATACGACAATAAATTTTTTAATAAAATAATATTTGAGTATTATGATGAACCAAAATATGTAATTATTATATTTTTTGTATTAAAAAATAAATATATATGTTAAATGTTATTTATATTAATATAGATGGATCAACGGGCTAATACATTGTTTAAATAAAGTTTTGCAAAAATATTTTACTTTACGGATGCACGGGATTCTCACTAGTAGGGCTAATATGCTCGAGTTTAACGTTATGACTAAAAAACAACATGCTTAAAAGAAGTGGATCCAACTCTATTATTTTTCAAGCCTAAACGGACATGTCCTATTAAAATGACTCATTTAACATATCTAGCACGGGATACGTACTAGTACTATACTACAAGATGGAAATATTTAACTTGACCAATTTAAGTCCATACCCATCCACAGGCCGAATCTCAGCTTAAATTGGTCAAGTTAAATATTTCCATTTTGTAGTATAGTATAGAAGATTTTGATTTATCTCTTAATATCTTGGGAGTATTCAAACCCGAATCTCGGCTTTGAGATAAACTTCTTATTTATTGGGGCCATAACATTTTGGGTTTTTTTTCTCTTTTTTTTCGGCTGCTTTATGTATTCTGGGATTTATAAAAACTTTTTAAGGCTTTAGAAATCCTGGTGTATTCAATTTAAATTTGTTGAGAATTTTAAGAATTATGGGGTATTTGATTGGAATTTGAAAAAATCTTATAAAATGCTGATGTATTTAATTTATTTGACACTAGGATTTTATAAGACTTATACACCCCCTTAAAATTTGGAATTCGAGATGATTTTGAGTTTCTAAAAATAATGTTTTACTTTTAGTATTACTTATCAAATTGGAATTTTTTAGAAATTTTTTTGAAAAGTTTCCTTTTTGTTGGAAGAATAAGGAAAGATATTTTAAAAAAATAAAAGTTATGGAATATATTTAGTTACATGTATATGGGTTATCTCGATCTTGTTTTATACACATATGATTACATACTTGCCGTATAAATTATTTGGAATGTGAATATTTTCCCATTTTTAGAATAAATGGAAGCTATTTAAAAATCCGTATTAAAAAAAAAAAGGAAAAATCCTCATATTTTTCTCATGGACTATTGACATGTTTGATTAGCAGATTCAACATGATTTGTAGATTTGTCTAATCAAATTCAATATTTAACTTATTTTCAAAAAGGATTATTTAATTAGTTTTTTTAATTTTAAACTTCTAAAAAAATTCATATCATTTATTGGAAGAACTTCACAATTCTATGTTGCGCCAAATATAACACAAAACTGTAGCACTCGCTTCTTGGTACAATTGTTTACATTTTTTCTTTATTTTTATATTTTTAATTTATTTTAATATAATATTCAGAGAAAATATTTTTATTGAGTGTAAAACATATTCAGTATTATAAAAAAAAAAATATTGTATTAAAATAATCTTTATATAATTATTGTATTTATTTATAATTATTAATTATGTATTGTATGTCCATTGCATATGGAGCTGGAAGAGTCATTGTTGACAATTCTCCTGTCATAGTGCTAATAATGGACTAGATCAAAATGACTCAATTAAATTCTAGTGCTTCTTCTATTAGTGAAGTTTCTAGAAAAAAAATATATCAAACGACGCAAAGCACCTTGGGTCGTTATGGAAACAGCCTCCTTGTATATAATTACAAGGGTAAGGTCTGCGTACAACTGACCCCCCAGACCCCAACCTGTTGGGAATATACTGGGTATGTTGATGTTGATGATGAATGTGTTAATTATGTATTGATAATTTTAATAAACAAATATGTATAAAATAATATATCTAAGTTTCTTTTCTCATAATTTGGAATGAACCGCCCCTCGCCTTTCCAAAGAATCCTTTATTTCGGGTTTCAGAATAAAAGGGTATTTCTTGATAGTGAAGAAGAGATCTAAATTTATCCGAATTACTAACTTGGATCTTGGCTAATTTGTAAAATACATATGCTTGTGACATGTCAGATAAGTCATAACAAGTATATAAATCTTCTTTAATATTACTAATAGTATGGCGTGACTTTGAAATAAACGGAATTCGATTTATCTTTCTTATTGAGTGTAAAACAAATTCAGGCGTATTTTAATACCCTTCTTCACTATTACACAATTTGTGATTAATATATGAGGTAACAGTCCTTACCCATTCAATGCATCTTTTAAGCTAATTCGTTCGGATGGAATCCAAGCGTCTTTCCAACCAGGAGGTACTCTTTTCATGGCTGTCTTTATGCTTCCCAAAGGATTGATGTCTGCTACCTGAAGTGAGTTGCAGAATTGGTCAGAGATTCAAATTTCGTGAATATGACTTTCAACAGAAGAAAGATAATACTGCAAAAGAACCAAAAGCTTGGAATTAGTTGTTCTCACAGGCCAGTCAGAGCCAATAGCCAACTGGGCATTTCCAGCAAGAAGTGACTGAAATAAATATGATCCTCCATGGGCCCTCTCGGCCCCAAGTTTTTTTGCGGCAGAGTCAGCATCGTCTAATAAGTGATCGGGCTTCACACAAAATTATATTAGAAGATACAGCTAGAACATTGATCGATTATCCACGAGCTCATAAGCAAAAACTGATGCCATCGAAATAAAGGTTCCCAATGGTAGAAAGATCGATACACGGAATGTAAATGGTGAGCAAAGGACCAGGAGAAAGAGAACCTGAACTGAAGCTATAACTTCTTGTTCACCAAATCTGGCTGCCGTCCCTGGAGCCAAATGCTGGGCGTGCTCTATCTGAAAATTCTTGATTTTGTCACTAAATCTTTATAACTGAAAAATTTCAGTGCATCATAACATGTAGCTGCAAACATAAAGTATAAGGGGGATTAACTATCAAATGAACGCTTACCCTAAATCTTCGGCCCCTCATTCCATTCTTAGAAGCCACGGATTTATACAGGTCCAAGACCAAGTCATTGGCCCTGTCGCCTATGGCATGAATAGCAACCTGAAATAAACTAAAATTATAACAATGTTGAAATGGTAATGTCGGTGGTATAACAAGGATAGACAACATCAGACAGAAAGGACAGAGCACCTGAAGCCCAGCTTTATCAGAAGATAGAGTCATATTGTATAGCATTTCTGTATCTGTCACTTGCAGGCCATGATTAGATGGTTCATCAGCATATGGCTACAAAATGTCAAAAAAAAAAAAAAAATAATAATTACAATAATGTTACCATTAACTAATACAAAACATGAATATAAAATGTGTAAACTAAACAAAATAAAAAGTAAAAACTATGAAGTTACTTGACCAATAATAAGAAATGACATGTTGAAAAGTTAACTTTCGGTTAACCACAGAAAAGTGAAGAGTATTGCAGATTGACGAAACGGCTTCTGAAAAGAAACGACAGTCCATTATCACCTCACGGAAAAGTGCACTATTAGAACCCAAAGATCCATCTGCGAAAGATTTCACGCCACCTAAATAAATCCATTGGCTCAATTTACGCCCTGTTCTTTCTATATGTTCCTGTACAAGGGTACCAAATCATCAGATGGATCTATAGCGATACCACAAGATAAATAATGCAAGACAGTATGAAGCCAGAGTTAATTACTTATGAACCCTGAAGAACACCAAGTTAAATAGCATCTGGTTAACCATGTTTCTGCACTTCTAGTTTCCAGCTAATATATAAACCAAGCAGACATGACATACTAGCAATTCTACTCATTTGCTCACCAGAAAGTCTGACAATCACTCAGTAAGCTAGACCTAATATACATGTATAATGAAACTTTAGTTGAAGTACTGATGAAAATGAACTCTGAATTACATGTAAGCGTGCCCATGTCTCCATTGGGAAATACAAGCAAACCCTAATCTTCATCTTTCCTGATAAATCAGCCCACCTGTAGACATCTGCAAGCAACATAAATAAATATGCAGTTACTTCCAAAAAAAAATATGAAAATAAATCAATGTACATGGAATTTAAAGGCTTTGAAGGATTCAAACCAGAACTAGATTATGGTATCACTCATCTCTTTTGCTTAGAAAGAGACACATAAATGAGCCACGACCAGATGCCGCAAGTCGAAAAAACAGTAGTTTTATCACATTTAAAATCCTTAACAAACTACAAGTGAAACCTGACAAATCCTCCCATGAAAGTTCTGGTGATGCACCAGGAAAATATCGCCCAACATCAACAACTGTCGTAACACCTCTCATCAAAGCATGATCACTAGCTCTTGAAAGGGCTTCCCTTCTTTCCTCCACTGTGACCTCCGGAATGTGTGACATGACAAGGCTCATTGCAGAATCAATCAACAAACCAGTAGGTTCTGCATGTGACCTCAAAATAAACAGAGAATCTATAAAAACTAATTCCACAAGTCAACAAAAATATAGAAATTACAGGACGCAAAGAATTATGATGCTTCCACCGCCGTTATCACGAACAAAGACTTGAAAAATATCTTGTCATAAATTTAGTGGTATGCAATCCTTGAGCAACTTAAACAAAGAGTTTTCTTCTTTTGTAATTGACACCTTCCACATCAGAAAGAGGAAAGGTCGATACACATCTCAAGAACCTTAATAGATCAAATAATACCTCCAATATTGTTCTTCACTACGGATCCACCATCTGGATCCACTGTGCTATTGGATATCCCAGCAATATTTAGTGCTATAGAGTTAGCCAAACCCATGTGCCCATCCATTCTTGACAGCCAAACCTGCATATCAACTTAATCTATATATGAAAAAACTTTTTTCAGCTTTAGTACATAAAGATGTAAACCACACATACAGGGTTATGAGGTGTAATGTCATCAATCCAAGATGCCATTGGCGGCTCTCCTCCCCATAGGTCATTATTCCAACCACCACCCAGCAACCAAGATCCAGGATGCAAATCTACGAATATTTTAACTAATAAATTACAAAAGTGCTCCAGATCTAACACAAAGTAAGTTGGAAGAAACATTGTACACAGAAAATTTGGACATGGATATCAATCTAAATCACATCAACCATGTGTATATGAGAAGTTCGATGACAGAAATTAAAAAGGAAAAAAAAAACAGAGAAAAAGAAGAGAAAACTACAACATCTACACTAGGGAGAATGAGACCATTATCAAGATTCAACTGTTAACAGCTTGAAATCTATTGAATCCAAATAAGTTATACGTGTCTGATTGCGATATGACTTACTTGATAATGCTTCTTTGATCTTGTTCACAAACTGGTCCTTTTGGCTGATGCCACGAAGTTGAACTCGAGCCATCTGCTTCCATTTTTAAATTAAATCAATGAAGTTGTAACTACAAAAAATAATTTCATGTCATATTACTTCTTATTCAGTGCAACTTGCCAAGGTTCAGGTGCGGTAATGTATATTCACTTCACTCGATCCAAGTAAACATACTAATTTTATATATACTGAAAATTACAGAGAATAATTGAGTATCACCCACAAAAACAAAGGGGCAAATGAAACTCGATACCCAGAACCTTTGTTTGCTACCCCATTTCAGCCTTCAAGAATGTTTGTGAATTAACAAACTATATGTTACAAAGAAGTCAAATTGAAATAACATTAAATAATCTCATATCAAAAGATATCAAAATTCTCTGGTGCTTGCGAAGCCCTATGCTTATAATGAACTCTCCAACCAAATAAATAAAAGATCGGTTACTCTCAAGTCTCAAGCTCCTGGTTGAACAAATGTAATCGGACTGTGATCAAACTTTCACTCACAATAGATTAATGAAATTAGAAGGTCATACACAAAACCTGTAATCCTCCAAAAATCAAATGCACGTGCGAGTCGATAAATCCAGCTACCACCAATTTCTTGTTTAGATTCAAAGTTCTGGTCTTGGGTCCAGCCAAATCCTATCATATATAAGACATGGGAATAGCACATAAATAAAAATCCACAGGTTTTGTATTGATATTGCATAATGCGCTCCGCTCTTCCCCCTTCAGAGGTCCCCTCATAATAAGTTGCTCCCAGTAACAAACCTAAGCTTAAATAAGAAGATATTTCCTATCAGGTCCAAGAAAAGAAGGCGGAGAACATTGAAAGCAGCTTACTCTGTTTACATAGAGTGCGCAAGAGAAATCGACTTAATTCTTCTCGCGATACACTTGGGAAAACAATGTGTGTGGAGGAATTACTTAATTTCTGAGTTTCTTGATCATCTACATGTGTATTTCCTTGCAGCACCAATCACCAAAATTACTTAATTACAGAGTTTTTTTCTAATGATAGCATACTCAATCTCTTCCTATCATCAATGATCATAAGGGTTTTAAACAACAATAACTCTTGCTTGTTCATACAGTAAACTTCTTCCCCAAAATTACTCCCAAGTGGAAACAATGAAGGGCAGTGAGGTTGAGAATGGAATCGAAAATTGACAGATATAGATTAAGAGATGGCACGCAACCTGTAAAGAAGAATAGTTCCCGAGACGGAGAATCCGGCCGCGGGCAATGGCCATGGAGTCAGCGAACGGGAAAGCAGCGTTGCTGGTGTAAATCGTCCCATTCGTCACCACCAAATCCGCCACTTCCCCACCGCGCAACCACAGCTCTGGTCAAGAGAGAGACAAACCCATCAATTTCAACGGAGAAGAAAGGGAATTGAGATGGTGAAACGGTGGTGACTGCTCTTGGGCAAATTGTACCTGGAAAAGGGAGTGACATTTCGAGCAATTGCACACTTACCGGTGACATGGTGACGGCGGAGCTTGGTGAGAAGTGGGGAGGATACGACGGCGAGAAGAACCGCCGCTGCGGCGGAGAGTATCAACCGGAAATTGTTCATGAGATGAGAGAATGCGGCTGAGGAATCTCTGACGCGTTTGCACTGAAATTTGTAATCACCACTTCAGTCTTCACCAGCCTTTGATGGTCATGCCCTTATCAACTGAGTTAAAAGATCTTCTGTTTCAGTTGATGAATGATGTGTACAATCTTGACATCATCGTCATCGTAAATATGTCATCCATCTAATAAAGTGAATAATAATACAAATAAAACATGCAAGTGAAACAAACCAATTATTGATTTTGTAATTGTTTGGAAATATTTTGGTGGCTGTATTTGTTTGAGAATTTGAGTGATTTTCATAGATTGGAGATTTTTTAAGATTTTTAATTTTGAAGTAATTTTAAGGGGTTGTATTCAATTAGAATTTCTAAAAATTTATAATGGCTTTTTAAGACTTTAAAAATTTCTGATGTATTTAATTTATACTTTTCAAGACTTTTAAAAACCTTTAAGTATTCATTTGGAATTTCAACAAGTCTTACAAAATCATGAGGTTATTTAAGAGTAGGATTTGATAAGATTTTTTTAGGATTTCTTGGAATTTCTAAAGAAAAAAACATACACAAAATCGAACTCCAAATCTCACCTAGGAGGTGGTTCGACTCGTGTTCGAGGTTGCCGGGGGAGGTTGTGCTGAGTCGTGGGTTGAGCGACTTCCTCTCGGTGGGTTCTCGTTAGGAGGTGGTTCGACTCGTGAAGGTACTGGGTGCTTGGGGCCGGAGGGGAGGGCTATCGTCTAGTATTTAGGTTATTTTGTGTGGTTAGATGAGTGTTTGTTTTGTGTGTTTAAGTTCGTGTGTTTGTTTGTTTTGTTTGGTGTTTTTGTTTCTTTTCTCCCGAATGAGAGTTTGCTATCTCCACTTGTGGGAGTTTTTTTCGTTATGTTCTAGTGTTGCTAGTTAGGTTGGGCTTGTTTAGCCTTTTAGGATACAGTCGTCTCGACTTGTACGCCTCTCAGTTTCAACATTTGGTTGTTTTCTTTCGGCTATTTGGCCGCTTGTGTTTTTTTTTCCGTGTTTTATTAATAGAATCTGTTGTTTC